AGGTGTTTGTATTTATTCTTATACATCACGGTCTCTTTTAAGTGGCCCTGACTAATCGAGATTGAGCTGGTTCCGGAACGTCTCCCTCCTCACTCTGTTTGGCAAAAGATCCTAGAATGTTCTAAAAGGTGAGCATCAGCCGGGTCCCTACAGGCGGAGCTCAAGGTCCTCGCTCTTCAAGTTCGCCTGTCATGACCCCTGGGGTCGCACTCGGTGGATGTGGAGTTCAGATGTTGAAGAAAAGCAGTCCTGGAGACCACGGTGACACAATCGCATTGATCTTCTGTGTCCTTTCTTTCCTGGAGGAGAAATTGTGAAATCCCGACATTTTTCTGTGCGTGAACCAGAAGTTGAGATTAAAAACCAAAAAAATCATTATCGGTTTTTTTCTTGTCTGTTCAAATGTACCCTGATGGCAAAGATGAAAAGTTAATGCAGTCTAAGTAGGAAAATACCACGATGAGAAGATTTCAAAAAATTGCTGTGACATTTCCTCATCTCCTGTCTTTAGACTGGCGGGGGGCGGAGGGCAGTTTCGCATCCCTGGGGCGCCTCAGGCATGTCCATTTGGCCAGCGTCCACTAGGTGGCAGTATGTCAGAGGATTTCTCTCATCCTCGAATTGGCCGCGATTTCTTTGGCTGCCCACCAGAGGTTCGCTTTTCCTTTTTGTCCTGTTTTGAAGGATGAAATGACGCTGTCATAAATTAGGCCCAAAGTATGCTTATCTAAAAGTGCATAAATTCACTGAAAAGCCTACTTGTTACAGTGGGACCATAAATAAGTTCATTCGTTCACGTGAATATTCTTAGTAACGTGGAGGTAATGATCCTGGTTGTCATCGGTAGTTTATAGAACCCAGAAGGCAATTCTTTTTGTCCTTTGCACGTGACGGATACAGTACATGCCGTATTCTGAGAAGACAGATCTCTGGTCACCCTGGGGAGCAGGATCTGGGTTCTCCAGTGGTTCTTAGTTAAGAGAAGATTGCAGGAAAGGCTGTTTGCCCAGCATATTTAGAGCTGTTGGAAACTGTTTCTGGCTTCTGCTAGAGTTTGCTGGGAGGTGTGTCAAAGCTATCTACACTTCTGTGCAAATCTGTGGGCATTCTGATAGTTTAGACAACATATGATTGCATGGATGTTCATCCAGAGTGAACTGTTTTTTGTTTTGTTTTTTTTTAAATAAATGTACACCTGGATTTAAAGTAAGTTAAAACACACAGAACATTTTTTAAAAAATCTCTCTTGCATCTGAATAATTTGTTCAGAGGAGAGGAATTAGGATGTTCTATGTGGTGTTTCCCCAAAATTAGGTGATCAGAACTTTCTCAATTCAAAGTAAGCAGAAGCAATGTCTGAATGGTGAGACTGGGAAGTAAAGAAATCTGCAAATTTTAAAACACTCAACGAATGTGGCAGAAGAGGAGGATTAATGTGGATGAGAATAAATGTAAATTCAAAGCTCGGAAAATACATGGAATTGTCAGTCGGGTGAATCTGGCAACTCCTTCAGAAGAGTCTCCCATAATCTTGAACACGAGACCTTAACTAGGAGGGAATTCCAGAAAGACCTGTGCTTGGGGATGTACGTAGGAAAGTATCTGAGAAAAACGACAAAACAGAGTGGCTCCTGCTCTGTGCGGTGAACTTGACAGAGTCACATTTGGGGACATGGTGCCCCTCACCCCCATGCCCAGGCTCCGCAGAGCTTAGTTCGGGGCATTCACCAGCTTAGCCCTGAGCATGGCTCGGCCGGTCGTTTTCTGAAGCCCCTGGGAATTCTGGGGCCATATTTCCTGATGCAGTGACTCCTTTCTGTCAGCCTCTAGTCAGAGAACTTCCCTCTAAGGATTTCTTGACAGGTGTAAGGAAGAGAAAAAAGATCTTTTTCTCTGTACCTTCCTAGGTTCTCCAGCTGGGGCCCTGTAAATAAGACTGACAAAAGACAGATGAACAAGAGCAAAGTGTGCACATTTATTAAAGTTTTATGTCTCATGGGAACCTACAGAAGGAGATAGAGACTTGAAGAAAAGGTTAGCTCGAACGCTTATACTAGGTTTGATGAAGAGTGGGTTTCCAGTGTGGGAGGACGTGGCAGGACAGAAGGTCATGAGCCAAGGGCAGTAACCTGGGGAAAACTTGGCAAAACCTGCTCATTCTCATTGTTCGCAGCATCCTGGGTTTTACAACTAAAGATGCTCCTTTCCTCTGGGTGTGGAGAGGGCATCTCCCGCATGAGGGTCTTATGATCTGCTTCAGGAGAGAAGGAGGAAGTCAGGGAGCCCCTCCTGCACCTGCCGCTTCTCACATTTGCTCACCTGAAAGTGTTCAGCTTGCCGAGGTACCGTATTTGGGGGTAACGTGTTCTGAGCCCCATCACCGTCCTTTGGTGCTTTCCTCCCGTCTCCCGGGAAAGCACTGGATGACAGTGTCCTGTAAAGGGGCGTGGTCTCGTAGCTCCAGAAGAAGAGTCAGAAGGCACAGGTTCAAGTTCCAGCTTTATCTTTGCCTCCGTTTCCCAGTCTGAAAAATGAGGTTAGTAATAGGTACCCAGCCTCTGATTCTAGTAAAATCAAATGTGATAATATAAGGGAAACCCCTGGTTGGCTGTGAATATCAGGGATTATTTAATTTTCCGTATGCGGAATATACATCAATTGTGAGAGTATAACAAATCTATGACTAAAAAGAGATGTCAGCAAACAGCCGTTCATGGGAACACTCAATTATTACCTGCTGGCGGAGTTTCTCTTAAAAACTACCAATTCAATGTCTAATTGAGGTAGACCGGCTGGGTTTGAGGCCAGAGCACTCTCTAAGTGTGGTCTTAGAAGACTGTTATGTTTGTGGTTGTTATCTCTGCAGGTCAATAACAACGATGTCGGAGTACAGAAAGTTGGGGGCAGGGTGGGGATACAGGGACCGATATTGAAAATACACTTTTTGTAGCCTGAGGTTGTAGACACATCGTGCACTCCGTTTTTCACAGTGAAACGTCCCTGTGGGGTTTCTGAGAGCAATTGCATTCCTCGGCTACCCAACAACGGATGAAAGCAGCAGAACCCCATGAGTCTCTAGCTAGAGTTTTAATTCTTCCGGGGTCATGACACTATGTTTTTTTTTTTAATAGCAGACACTGAATGTGCTTCTGAATGATACTGTTTATTGAATTTTCTTGTAACGGGAAGGTTCTGTGACAGCTCCAGGCTAGAAACCACTGATTAAATGGACAGGAGAGTTTCACTTCCAAGTGGGAGAGAACAAACTTATCCTGCCCACGTGGCTGGTGACTCGTCTGTCACTTCTCTGGCTTGGGTCTCAAGCTTTCAGAAAATCTCAGATTTGTCCATCTCTGCGGTCTTTAAGAAAGGGATTGCTTTTCTTAAACTGAAGCCCCAGGCCAACAGCATCAGCTCACCTGTTAGAGGTGCAAATTCTGAGGCCCTACCCGGACCTCTGGGGTCAGAAACCATTTCAGATGCACTCAGAGAGACTGTGATGCATGCTCCAGTCTGAGAACTGCCGAGCTAGCACAAAGGCCCTTCTCTTGTGCAGTGCATTGTCAAGGCACGTGTAGGAGGCGGCCATGGACAAGACCCTAAGGCTTCTTTCTAAAAGGCGGTCCCACTGTGATTTCTTTAGGAATAGATTCTCGTCTCTCTTGGGGTTCCTGAAGGCAGACAAAAGAATCAGTGTTGTTTTATCTCTAGAATCCTTCCAATTGTTGACAGTTGAAGTTGTGTTATAGTATCTATCTATCATCTATCATCTATCTTATCTATTTATCTATATCTATCTACCTATCTACCTACCTATCATCTATCTATCTGTCTGTCTGTCTATCTATCTATCTACCTACCTATCTACTTACCTACCTACCTACCTATCATCTATCTATCTATCTACCTACCTACCTACCTACCTATCCTCTATCTGTCATCTATCTGTCATCTATCATCTATCTCAGAGCACTCCTCTTCAGACACTCAGCTTAAGCCCTGTGGCTTATCTTTTAAACATCATGGAAGAGGCATGCTTAGCATGCATGGTCACCCCAATCACAGAAATTAGGACTCTCTCCAAAATTATGCTGGTATTGAGATGTATGAATTGACCTGATGCTCTGCTAAGTGCCTGCATGCGTCATCTCATTGACTCTTTGCAATCACCTTACGATAGAAGTGCTGTTCATATCCTCACTCTAAGTAGGTAGCTGAGCGGGGGTTTGGACTGAGGTCAAAGCCCGAGGTCCTGTCCACTCCAGCTTCCTAGTTAATGGTGGCTAAGGTCTTGATTCCGGTGGGCACGCAGTCACCTACGAGACCCTTCGTTCTCAGGGCTCAAATTGACATATGCAATTACCTGCGTTCTTTATATACTTACGTTCTTTCTTTTTCTGCCTCGTGCTTCTGCACCTCTGTTTGCAGCAATATTTTAAGTTAATTATTGCTACTCTAAAAGCTCTTAGACTTTTGTATAGCATTTCAAACACACTGTGACTTTTTAAAATAAAAAAGTTAGCCGGTGGGAGCTAGGCATCATTCTCTTTCCTGCAGGCTGACAGTCAATGTTATAACAGGGATTTATTGATGACATGGACATGAAAAGAGTCTCCCTTAAGATTTAAGAGTGTCTGATGTTCTGCGGTAATTGTTATTTCCCTAGTTAACTTCATCTCCATTTGTGTACCTGCTACGAATTTTTAATTATGTTCAATTAGTCCATGTTTTATAATCATGTTGTTTTTATTTCCTCTTATTGTCCAAAGTACTTTGTTAGACTGCGTGCGGTCTACCTTTTAAGCTCATCAGCTTAATGCTCTGGGATGAGCTTCTTTTCATAGCTACCTAGAACATCAAGGAACTTTACTCCCTATGTACTTCCGGCATAGTTTGAAGGAAAGAAGATTAGTTTATTGTATGTCCCAGAGTCCTGGATTTTTATTGCTTTATCAAAAGAATGAGTGTATACATAAGAGTTTTTTTCCTTTTTATTTCAGGAATTACAACATATCGTTAGATCCCAACACATCAGAGCAGAGAAAGGTAAGCATGGATCTGTCTGAGTATCCAGAATCCCATGGGGTTACTGCTCTTTGAGCTAACGTGGTTTCTCTCATCTCCAGCTACAGTAGACAGTGCCTGGTTAGATCTGGCCAGGAGGGGCAAGCCGGATGCTCAGCCTTTTGCTCATCTCACCATTAATGCCACTGACATTCCGTCAGGTAAGTTCCATTTCCATCTAGCCTGAAAGAAGTATGTCAGGAGTCATTGATCAGCCATTTGTATACTCAAAACCTCTACTGAATTTTTGAGAGCCCAGAACTTCTAGACCAAAAAAAAAAAAATCATTCAGTCTTCAGTTAACGATCCACATTGTGAAAATAGTGATTCTCGATCATGCCAGAATGGACGTCATCACCATATTCATTTCAGATCATCAGAGTGTGTTTATTTTAAATGAGTGCCAGTTGAAATTGTGTAACTGGGAAGGACAATCCCTTATTATGCTCATCTATATTTACCCAAACTAAAGTTGACGTACCTCCATCGCTAGGTTGCATGAATTCATCCAGGCAGTCACGTACTCAACCATCTTCTGCAGAGTTCCAGGTACGGGCTTGACAGAGTGATATTTGAGAGGCAACAGCCCTTTAGACAATGAGACGCGCTCCTCCTTCTCCAGGGTGAGAATTTACTCAGTGGACTGGAGACCTGTTGTCTTTAGGAAATGGGGACACCCCGAGCTCTGTGCCTGCATCGACCTTAATGCTTCAGCTGTTTCATCTTATCATCCCCACCACGTACTCCACCTTGGGGTAGGTCAGCATCCAAAAGAACATCATGATAGCGTGACAATTGAGCATTATTATTAGTAATATCATGCCGTTTATCCAACATACACTATGTATCAGGCATTTCACTCTGTGTTCATCATCTCCGGTCCTGACTATAACCCTGCAAGATACTGACCACCACTCAGATTTTGCAGACAGGTAAATGGAGGTGCACACAGTTTACCAACTCAAGGTCACAGTGGCGGCGGCGATAGAAGTTGAATTCCACTCTAGTTCATTCCCATGTCCATGCTTTTTACACTGTAGGTCATTCCATAAGTACCTGTGGCCAGTTGGCTTTACCAAGGGGAAATTAAGTCAGAACCCTGATGTTCTTTTTCTCAAAGAAGTAGATTAATGCAGTTGTAACAGGCAGGGGCTCTGAAGTCTGAGTGCCCGGGCTGGAGGCCCCGCGGTACCCCTTACTGACGATGTGACCTTGGGCAAATTGTGGGAATGATTTGCATCTCAGCTTCTTCACTGGGATGGCGATGGTGTCTACCTTACGGGGTAGCTGTGAAGATTTAATGAAGTAATGTATTAACACTCCTATGTGGAAGCTGGCATATAGTATGTGCCCAGTGAATGCAACTTGTTACTATTATTTGTTTAATTAAATAATTGTACATATTCCAGTTTGTTTTAAAAATGATTTAAGGCAGGTTTTTCTTGGAGTTAAAAAATTTCGAGGTTTAGTAAACAATTTAGAAGCAACTATTATAGCAAGAGGGATTTTTCCTGACTGCAGGCACAGAAAATGAGAAGACAAGACTTCAGGTTTTAGAAGATTTTCCTAAACTATCTCTCCCATCCCAGCTACTGGCTTCATAAACACATTTTCTCTCTGTGTGTATGTGCGCCTTACATAGAGCTACACTAATTTTCTGAGTGTAAAACTATTTTGCATGTTAGCAAAGGCAATCAAATTAATACTGATATGTCAGCTGTATGTGCTGCGAATGTACTCTGCGTTTTTTTTTTTTTTTCGGTTCATTTTAAAGGGCATATGATAAATATCGCATTAGACTGTGTGCCAAAATCTGTTTGGCAATCGCAAGCATGTTTTAGTTGCAAAGCTCTCTCCCCTAAGCATCGAATCATTGCCAAAGACAAAGACAAAGACAAAAGTCCTGGTTATTTTCTGATAGTTATTGAGTTCGAGACTGAGCGAAATGAATTAGTGTATGCTTCTGCTTAAGAAAATAGAATTTGCTTCTCTGGCTGGCCCAACAGCCCCTAGAGTCCATTTATCTCCCAGTTTGGGCCAGACCTGGATATTTCAGAAAAAGATGGCTTTCATTCTGTATGTTGATTTTGGGTCTCTGTTTTATACTCATTTACACATAAGAAAGAAATCAAAATCTGCCTATATTGAGTGCTAGCTTATGCGTTGGCAAAGCTTCTCAAACAAAATGTATTGGGAAGTATTTTGCGAGGTCAGAATACATGGCTTTCTTTAGGGGATCCTCAGGCTAACTATTGGCAGAGGGGTCTCCTCCAACAGCAACGACCTGAGGAGCTGGGGGCGGGATAGGAGGTCATCATCCTGCCGCATTAATGATGGAAACCCAGGTTTGCCGTGAGGGGCCCTGTGACTTGACCACAGCGTCATCTTCTTGTCTTATCTCCCATTACTGTCTGTTCATGGGTCCCCCTGCCCCCCGCCCCGTTCACGCAGATGGCTTTCCTCCCTTTTCCTCTGGGCGCTGTGTCATTCCATCCTTTGCTCGAACAGCTCCCGTCACTGACAACACCCTCCCTTTGCTCAGCCCCCCTACATCCGATCCAGGTCGCCCCTGTCCTCTGGCTCCTTTGGCCCCTTGCTGGGCGGAGCTCTTCTGATTGCCATTGACTTCGGCAGCGTTCACTTTCAGTTGCTTTAACTGTATTTCAGCCGTGTGCTACGGGACATGCAGAAATGAAAATGTTGTATTTTTCACTGTATGTGCCCAATTGTCATTTTCTCCACTGCTAGTGTTAAGTGCCTTGAGGGCACACTGCCCGATACAATTCTTAGTCAGGGGCAGAGGGAATGCCCGTAGAAAGCACAGCAGTCACTGACTGAATGACTGATCGACCAAACTGATCAGTGAATGGATGAGCGAGTGGGTAAAAACAGATACGTTTCATAAGGAATAAGGACAACGCTTCGCTTGACTTTAGTGGGAGTGGTACGCGGTCAAGGTCCTGCCCTACTCCCCCTCTCGTTCGTACTCCGTCCTTGCCTTCCCAGCCCATGTCTCTGAGCCCCCGGCTTAACACTGGCGGATCGACTCCGCTGAGACGGTAGGCTTCACCCTTGTCATTCTGCTCCTCTCTAAGAGAGATCACGGGAAATAGACCGTAATGCAAATAATTGATTGTGTAAAGAATTGACTACAGGAGTCAGCGAGAAGGAGGGCAACATGGGAGCATATGAGATGGGAAACACCTTGAATTTTATTAAACTTCCTCAAGGTATTTTCCAGCCTGGAGGAATGACTTTACTAGCGTTTATGAGGATGTGGTGGCTAGTCTTGTTGTCTCATCTTGATTCACTTGGGACCGTGGGATGACATTTACATTTGGGATGCTTCGATTTGAGATAACCTGAGATAGGAGCTCTGATGAAAATGGCACGAGCTGCGATGGGTCCCGGATGCAGCGGTGCCTGTGATGGCATCTCGGGCTCCTTCTAGCTCCTTCCTATGACTGAGACGTGGATTTCAGTCAAAACACGGTCCCTGGACAGAGAGATTGGAACTGCTGGCACTTCACAGGCCTCCCGGCAGGTTCCCCACCATAGCTTGGCCTCTGTGTAGCTTTTTTCCCCACTCGCCCCACCACCTGGTTGGTGTTCAGAACAGCGTGGTCTTGAGGTCCCCAGACCATGTTCCAGACTGCCCAGTGGCTCTCCAGGATCAATGGAGCACTGTCCTTTCTGTGGCTCTCTGGAGAACGCTGCAGGTGCTCAAGGCTCCCCAGAACTCAGACCAGTCTGGGAAGACAGCCACAATGTGATTCCGATTCTATGAAGATCTCCCGAGGATCCACAGAAATCCACTGGATTCCTGGGATCCACTGCAAGCCTCAGTCCCACCGTGCGCTGACTTCTCATGGGTGCAGGCAGCAAAGGACTTCTCTTTGGCTGTGGAGGCTCATCCCAAACCCGGCCTTCGACTCCTCAGCTCTGTTCTGCCTTGCTGACATCCTCAAAGATGACAACATTAGTCAAGCATAAGTATTTACAAAATTTTCTAAAGGAAAAAAAAATGTGTTTTTGAACTTTCCAGAGTAGAACAACTTTTCTCCTGCTAGTTGATACCTTTTCCTGTTGGATAACAGGTGTCCACATAAGCACACGAGGTTGTTGAGTTGGGTTTATCATAGAGGTAGTGATTATTTTTAAAGATCTAGTAAGATGCATGAAAGACCTGAAATATTAAAAACACTGGGCACACTACTGGTTTAGAAGATTCTTTAGAAACTGCTTCTGTTTTAGAACAATTTCTAAAACATTTCAGGGTAAGAAGAGGCTAAAACAGAATTCTGGTCTTTTGGGGAGAATTTCGTGATAGTTGAGTCACAAAGGATCGTGTGAGGTTGTGGAGCTGGGGAGGGCAGTGCCCAGAGGATTCTCGTCGTGCATTCTCTGGGATCAAGTCTTCTGCTGTGTGAGCCTGGGCGGCATTTGGGCTGTTGGCGGAGGGGCGTTCTTTGGTGATGAGAATAGGTTTAGGAGTTTGACCTTTTGGTCAAAGTTACTGAGACCCAGACTGTCTCCTGTTTCTACATGAATTGAAAGAGAAGGTAGAGTCAAATCAAAGTCTTCTTCCTGTACTTATTTTTTTCTTCCTGTCTCAACTGCCTTTGGCCCATTTTCTTCCTTCAACCTCGAATGACCTTTCTGCCTCTGTTGGCTGCATCGCATTCCTCCTGTAAAAATGCTCAGGCTCAGGAGCAACTCAACAAAGTCACTATCCCTCTAGGAGGAAATTCTCTCTCCTTCCTGTGAATTTCCATAGCAACTATGTGCACGTTTTCTGTCGGGGTTCATGGCTTGCTTCCGACCTGCACACATGCCATACTTTTCCCGAGTGTTCTGTAGGGAGCTTGAGGGCAAGAAAAATGAGATTTTGTCTCTGTATCATCTCAGATGCCTAGCAGAGAGCACCAAGTACATCTTAAAGCATTTCTCCCCTTTTAGAAACTAAATTCTGAGAAGCTATTCTGTTGGAACGATGCCAGTGATGCTATGTTTTTCTCCAGCCTCACTGAATTGGGACGATGTCCTTCTCATCGAAGGGATGGATTTGAAATCGTGTGCCTCTCTCTCCTCCCCTCAGGTTCCCACAAAGTGAGTCTGTCTTCCTGGTACCACGACCGAGGTTGGGCCAAGATCTCCAACATGACTTTCAGCAATGGAAAACTAATAGTCAACCAAGATGGCTTTTATTACCTCTATGCCAACATTTGCTTTCGACATCATGAAACTTCGGGAGACCTTGCCACAGAGTATCTTCAGTTGATGGTGTATGTCACGAAAACCAGCATCAAAATCCCAAGTTCTCATACCCTGATGAAAGGAGGAAGCACCAAATACTGGTCAGGGAACTCCGAATTCCATTTTTACTCCATAAATGTTGGAGGCTTTTTTAAGTTACGATCTGGTGAGGAAATTAGCATCGAGGTCTCCAACCCTTCACTACTGGATCCAGATCAAGACGCAACGTACTTTGGGGCTTTTAAAGTTCGAGATATAGATTGACCCCCATTTTCTGGAGCATTATCACATATTCCCTAGGATGTACAGAAACTTTAAAAAACAAGCCAAGAAAGATGTACATAGGTGTGTGAGACTACTAAGAGGTATGGCCTACAACGGTATAGGATGAAGACTTTCTCTCAGCTTCTGACTCTGTAGAGAGCATGTGTATTTACAGCCAAATGGAGACGTTGGACTCGAGGTGTGGTGTAGTCCGAAGGCTTTCTTACACAATGGTTTTTAAATTTTGTAATGAATTCCTAGAATTAAGCCAGGTTGGAGCAATTATGGTTGCCTTTATGCAAAACTGCGTTCGGGCCGGGGGAAGGGTCTGGCCCTTGGTCATGTGCCACTGTGCAGCTGAAGTAGAGAGGGTGTCATCGAATTGCAAAGGGATGGTAATCTGAAAGGTTACGTTCTTTTGAATTGTTACATCATGGTAGAACCTGCAAATAAATACTTTTTTTTTTTCTAATGAGGAGAGAAAATATATGTATTTTTATATAATATCTAAAGTTATATTTCAGATGTAATGTTTTCTGTGCAAAGTATTGTAAATTATATTTGTGCTATAGTATTTGATTCAAAATATTTAAAAATGTCTTGCTATTGACATATTTAATGTTCTAAATGTACAGACATATTTAACTGGTGCACTTTTTAAACCCCCTGTGGAAAACGTGTCACTAAGGGGAAAAAATAGTGTTTGCTAATATCAACTGTATTATATTTCTTCATTCTTTTTAACTTAATAGCTTTTTCAGACTTGTCGAGTCTATGCAAAAATGAAAATGTTTGCCTTGAATAACAAGCAGGACGTTGGCCACCAGGTGCCTTTCAAATTTAGAAGCTAATTGACTTTAGAAAGCTGACAGAGCCAAAAAGGATACGTAATGGGCCAGTGGAATCTGTCGAGAGTATTTATATAATTATTGAACAGATGTTTTTTCTACAAGGGATGCAAATTTAAAATTTTGGGTTTTTTTTTTTTTAAATGAAAATGTTATCCGTGGCTTATCAGCAAAAAAAAAAAAAAAAAAAAAAATCCCAGCTTTAATTTAGTGGGAGTTATTTTATACTGTACAATAAAGACGTTGCCTTTGAATGTTAACTTTTTTGGTACAAAAATAAATTTCTAAGATAACCTGCTTTGTGATTTCGTGCTTCTCTTTTATATCTGTCTTGCTCTGTGACCCCCCTCTCTCCAATATGGTGATGTGGCTTCTATCTTTCCAAAGGTTATTGGGAGAAATGCAGATTTAATTAAAAATTAGGAACAGATTCAATGCAATTAATGAACCTTGGAATCTGCAAAATAATTTGCAAGGGATTTGTATGGAAGAAGGTAGCCAGATGGAAAACAGGCTTCTTTGCTCAAAAAAAAAAAAAAAAGTTTATGTTATGCTTATGTCGTGAGGGGAAAATTGTACTTGGGCAGTGGTTGCTCCCCAAGGAAATGTGGGGCGTGGCGAGGTGCAGGACCCATCATGTAAGGCGCTTGGGTCATGAAGGGAAAATTGTGCTTGGGCAGTGGTCCGACCCAGGCTCGTTACTCCCCTGAGAGAGATGTAAGGAAATGTGGGGCATGGCGAGGTGCAGGACCCATCATGTAAGGCGCTTGGCCATTTGTGGAGAAATGTCTGTTGACAGTCGTGACAGGATGGAAGGAAAGAAGAAACAGCAGATGTTATGAAGAAGAAGTTACACATTTTATGTTATTTTATTTTTTTAGTAGTTGTAAATTTTAAACAGCGGAGTTTTGATGGTAGGACTCAATCATTGACCAAAGTAGACCTATTGATTTAAAACTATCAGTAAATTTGAGGTAGATTGGTACGAACCAAGATTTCAGTGTTGCGTAACCCAGTGACCAAATCTTGGTTTAAGGAATATTCATTTTGATCAGCAATCGGAGAATTTCACTGACACAAAATCTTGTAGAGAGTCTTATGAGCTGTCCTGGCTCTTATAACTTGATTCTGTCGTTTCCAAGTGTGAATGACATTCATGTCTTTGTTTGTTCCATGTTATTTAGTGAGCACCAACTATGTGCTAGGCCCTGTACTGGGCACTGAGATGCTCTAGCTCCCATTCCATTCCACTCCAGTGGGAAGCCAGCCCTGGAAGAGAGTGGCAAGCTCTAGGGTGTGGGTGTGTGGGGCACTATGGGGGGAGCGGAAAGGGGGCCAGTGAACCCAGTCTTCGGGGTCTAGACAGAAGGTCTAGAAACGAAATCAGGCAGCATAGGAGGTGGCCCGAAAGGTTCCAAAAGTAAATATAGAATATCCATTACTATTATAACATAGAGACAACTACCTTGCAGCTAAAACCGAAAGTCATGGTTCGTAACGATAAGGGAGGTCCCCTATGGAAGACCTTAACTGTAATGTGGATTTCATGGACCTTAAAGGAATTTTCGGAGCTTTGTTGGAATGAATCTATGACTTAATGAAATGTTAGCGTAAACTGGTCTGTGCCTCATAGGAGGCCACCGTAGCTGGGGGACCTGCGGGGGGTGTGTGAAAAAGGACTTTTCCTCCTTCCTAGTGATTCTCAAGGCTTTCCTGGACCTGAATGGCGGGATCCAAACCCTCGCTTTTCTCACTCACGTGCTGCTGTTCGCTCCTGCTTTTTTTTTCTCACTCATCCCCTTCTACTCTTCCGTATGTGTTTTAGCCTTTCCTTTCTTCTCCCAGTTCCTGGCTCTTGTCCCAGAAGACCATTTGGTTTCTTCAATGGCCCTTGGGGATAAGAGCTTGCGGCACCTGATTGAGATGGGACCGGATCATCCACCCTGAGCAGCAGCTGACTAAATGTGTTGAGAAGTGACAAAATCATGTCGGGAAACCAACACATGCTGGATGCCATGATAAAATGAATTTTTGCTCATTTTTAACTACTCTCTTTCAATCTTCTTCCCAACACATGCCGAGTCTGAAGGGAGGAAATCATGCAAAATTCAATCAAACTCATCTGTCATCTCGAGTCAACTTTCACAACGATGCCCAAGTCAGGCACACTTGCATCTTTCCAAAAACTACGTATGTGACGATCCTTGTTTAGTGAGGCTGCTTCCCACCCACCCACCTTTTCTATTGCCTTCCTCTGTGTCAGTCATTTCCATCAAGCCATCCTAGAAAAATACCCAAAGAAGATGACCTATTTCATTAGTGATACAGGTGGAAACTAGAGCACCTTGTGCCTCATCCTTTCTCTCTGTGTCCAATTATTGATTTGGTTTGAGATAGTGGCATGGGGTTACACCCGTACATTTTGGGGACACAAATCCGATTCGATTTGTAGTTCCACGTTTAGCCCGGTGGAGTCATCCTGGGCACGCGAGCATGTCCTCGCTTCACTTTTGGCTTTATTAATTGATCGTCTAGCTCCCCGGCTATGAAATTGAAATACGTCTCCCAGTAGCTGCATTTATAAATGCTAATTAGTTATTGATTCACATTATTATGATTTAGCCTTGTGCCACATTTTACAATAAAAAATTTGTACACTGTGAATGTTAGATTTTAGCTATAAAACAGGAATCCTTTTGATTAATAACACTTTTATACTACCTCTACTCTTCTATACTTATAATTTAAAAATTCTATTTTCTAATCATCTGCTCCCACCTCCCCTCTCCTTTGTTGACTGATTTCCTTTTCAGGGGCTTGTTTTATTGCATCTTGACCAGGATCTAGCTATTTGTGGTGACAATCTCTTTGATTTTGTCAGATGCAGACTAATTATAACGTTGTTCATACATATCGCTACTGGCTTTCAATGTTTGTAGAGAAATCTTGTAGAATTTTTCTACATTAAAGTATACGTGACACACACTATTATATTGTTTTCAGGCATAAAACATAGTTATTTAACACTCATATTCCTTATGAAGAGATCTCTAAGTCTGATAACCATCTATCACCATATTACTGCATAGATGGAGGGGCCTAGAGGGTATTATACTATGTGAGATAAGTCAGACAGTGAGGGACAAAAACTATATGATTTCACTTACGTGTGGAATCTAAAAAACAAAACTAATAAAACAAAATAGAATCTTTTGTTTTGAAAATTTGAAGAGGCTTCCCTTCCTGTTGGCAAAGAATGAGCTAGAAATTGCTTATTCCATTAATAGCACCCAGAACTAACTGGAGATCAGGACTGGTTTTAGAGACAATACGTTCTCTTAAAAAGGAATAAAAATTTCAAGTTCTCTTACAAGGGTTTTAAGATCATGAGATGTTACTCTCTTGGGCAAAAACCATTCTCTCCCTTTTCCTATAGATTCTGCAGAAGCTTCATTTTCTCGAAAGCCTGATCTCAACAATCTCTTCCTCCGGACACCAGCTGTGGGATCAGGGCCCACCCTAACCTGGGATGACCTCATCTGACCTTGACTGCATTTGCAAAGACCCTGTTTACAAATGAGGTCACAGGTTCAGGGTGGACATGGAATTTTGGACACTACTCAACCCTCTACCAATTTCAAGGGACTCAGAATCCAGAAATGAAATAAATGTCTAAAAATCAACCCATAACTAGAACAAAATTAATTCCACAATGGAAGTACAAGCGATGTGCTGGTCAATCCACCTGACCAAACGAGGGCTCATTTTCACTGAAATACGAGTGGGATCGTGTTTGGATTTGCTATGTTTGTATTGGCCGTGCACGGTCATGAGATGATGCTGAGTCTAAGTCAAGGCCGTTATGCGCTCTTACACCCTTCTGTCCTGTGAAGCCTTGGTGCCACTTCCCCTGCCACACCCACTCCACTCCAGGGCATCCTGGCTCCGCCCACAGCCATAACCGGGATTTGTACTCATTCCTTAATTCTAGTGTTAAACGTGGTTTTTCTCAAGGACGAGGAGTTAAAAGGAACTGATTTGAAAGAGTTCATCTCTCTCTAGTAAACCTGGAAAGAGATGAAGAAAATGTTACTCTCCCGAAATTCCAGAATGCAGACGAAAGCAGGCCAGCTTGGTGGAGTTTTTCCGGGGGAAATCGTGAGGTGGGCACTAGCGAGGAGCCCCACCTGAGTGCCAGGGGGCTGCGGGTGGGCATGTGGGTGATGGTAAGAAAGGCAAGGGCTGAGCGGACAGGATCCTAGCTGTGCCCCTGCAATCTTTGGTAAAGTTCCCAGCATCCTTGTGAGTTTGTTACTGCATTTTGGGTGGAAGCCAGTGGAAGGGAAGCATTTACCCAGACACCGGCCTGCAGAATGGAGCAGCCTGCAGGACCAGGAGCAGAAGGAAGTGCAAGGCCGCAGCCATGACCTCAGG